AAGAGGTGGGCAGAAAAAGATACATTGACACTGTTCAAGTCTCCTCAATATAAAAATCATTCGTTTCCATTCAAAATTATGATGTTAGAAATACAATTATGTTTGCTCATAAAATAAATATGTATTTTGTAAAGCGGACAAGTTCGATCCTTGCGTGGCGCGTCCTGTTCTTGCGGTTTGATGTCAGACGAAAGCCACGTATACTTATTTTATTGGACATTTAATGGCAAAGAAATCCGCACATCTCTTTTTAAGCGTCGCTTTAAATTAAAGTTCATTACATTATTTTTAGTGCCAATAATTCTGTTTCGCTGGGAAAGTCTTTAACTTGTTCTGCGCCGCAATTAATTTGTTATTTGCTATTGTGTTTCGCATTTTCAACACAGTTTTAAATTTGACCCGCGTCTTAGTAGAGGCTGCCGATGATAATTATCTTCGTCGATTTCTCTATTGCAGCTGTGTTAGTTAAGCAGAAACCGACAATCATTTGTTAATTCCGGGTGAATTAAAGCCTTTTAAGCCAAACCTTACCCTTTTGTTCAAGTTAAATCAGTTCTGACCTTTCGTATTACATTAACGTACAATAAAATCCAATTGCCAACGAGTAAATATTCATAGCAGTTCGTACGAGAAAAAATGAATTCACACGTGAAGTTAATTTAAAAAAAAAAAAACTTTCCCAGATACAAAAATTATTGGATATTTGAATAACCTTTTGGTATTTTCAGTGTCCCATTGACTTGGATTTTACAAGCATGAACTAAAGTCTGAATAGTTGTTACGAGGATCAAACTGAAAACTCTGGTGATAAGAAAGAAAAAGAAAAGAAGTGCCTGATAAAGAATTTAAGAACCACGGCTCTGTTTAAACATGCGCATATACATAGATAGATAAACAGAACAGATAGATAGATAGATAGATAGATAGATAGATAGATATGAAGAAACTGATCTAAATAGATAGATAGATAGATAGATAGATAGATATGAAGAAACTGATCTAAATAGATAGATAGATAGATAGATAGATATGAAGAAACTGATCTAAATAGATAGATAGATAGATAGATAGATATGAACTGAACATAATAGATAGATAGATATAAACAGGAGATAGTTAGAAATAGATGTAAACAGAACAAAATATACAGACACAGAAGATAGATAGATAGATAGATATGAAGAGACTGAGATAGGTATAAAGAGAACGAGATAGGTATATAGATAAATAGATACACTGAACAGACTGAGATAGAGAGATAGATATCTACATATAAACAGAACGAGACAGACAGATAGATAGAAAGAAACTGATCTAGATAGATAGATAGATAGATAGATAGATAGATAGATAATTATGAACAGACTGAGACAGATAGGAAGAGACTGGGATAGATAGATGGATATGAAGAGAAGGAGATAGATAGATAGATAGATAGATAGATAGATAGATAGATAGATCATGTGTCCTAGCTGTTTTGAAAGCATTAAACATTAATTCTTGAATTTCCTCTTTTTTGTTAGTGGTTTATGATTGTCAAAGATGGCAGTTGGAGGTGGCAACTTTAACAGGAATGGTCGTTATAGGAGAGTGGTTTCTGAAATCCTCATTTCTCTGTCAACCATTACATCATGCCAACAATGAACTATATTGTATAAAGACAAGATCAAACCCAGGTAGAAACAGTTTCCAACCTTCTTTTTTCTCTCTCATGTCACAGTAAAGTGAACACGAACTGCTTCAGCATGAATTTGAACCCGGTTCACTCGGCTTATCTTTTGTACGGAAAACCGTTACTCCATATAATAAAAGAAATCGTTGTCTGTAGAATAAGTCCTACCAGGATTTATTATTGGCAAAAATTAAGCATTAAACATCAACTACAAGAAGACAGAATGCATGGGTTACTAACAAAAAAATGAGCTCAATGTGCCAATTGCACATCGGAGATATCAAAATCGAATATGTCCGGAAATTTAAATATCTGGAAAGTATTACAACAGAGCACCGGAAGTGCGACACTGAGGCCCAAAGGCGTATTGGGATAGACAAAGATGAATTCCAAAAGCTAAACAAAATAATAAGAAATAGGACAATCCTATCTAGAAATAAATAACCCATAGGTGTGTTGATATGACGCTGAACAAAGTCAACCAATCAACATCCATCTTTTAAAACGAGAACTGCTTTCGCTGCTTCCGGCCAAAAGGCAAACTTCCGTGTCAGATCCTACTATTAAAGAATGATGGCGGACATCATTTTATGGGTATGCTTAAGTGCAACAGGTCCCAGGAAACTGACTGAGATTTTGCGGGAATGGAATAGGTAAAATATTTATCAGTTCTTTCGAGCCATAATTTTATTCTCTATTATCCACCTTTGAGTTAGTGGTTGTATTATGGTTGGGTTACCAACATTAGATATGCAGTTGATCAAAGTGATGATAGCTGACACGGAAAGAAAGTTATAAAAATTCCTACAGAAGGTAGTGAAGGAAAGCAAGAAGAAAAAATATTAAACATTAATCACAAGAATCTAAAGTGAAAATCGGAGACATGAAAATCAACCAAGGACAGAAATTTAAATATCTGGAAATTATTTTAACAGAGGATGAAAAGATTGACACTGAAATCGAAAGGCGTATTGGGATAGGCATGGAAGCAGTTCAAAAAACTAAGCAGAATAATAAGAAAAAGGAAAATCTTTGCTCGAAACAAAGAAAAGAGTATTGAATGGTTACGTGATATCAGTCCTCTTATATGGCAATGAATGCAGGACAATCTCCTTAAATATGAAGAAGAGTTTTGAAGCCATAGAAATATGGTTCTACAGAAGGATGCTGAGGATACCGTGAATCAAAACTGTGAGCAATGACGGAGTTTGGGAGAAAATGGTAACAGAAAAGAAAATAATAATTAACACCAGCAAGAGACAGTTAGGGTTTCTAAGGCATATAACGAGGAAGGAGGGCTTGGAAAATCTAATACACACGGGCAGATTGAAGACAAAGGAAACTAGAAATATGGTTCTGCAGAAAGATATACCAAGGACCGAACGTGTAAGCAACGACGAGGTTTTAGAGAAAATGGAAACAAAAAGGAAACTTATACTTAACACCAGCAAGAAATTCCTAGGGCACATAATGAGAAAAAGATGGCTTGGAGAATTTGATACTCACAGGGCAGATTTAAAGAAAGAGGAACAAAGCAAAGCATAACATATTTAGTGAGCTTGATTAAATGGACGTCAACACTTTCATTCCCTCTAATGATTACATATATAAAAGATAGGATTTCTTAAACAAATACATCAACACTTTCATTCCCTCTAATGATTACTGTTGAAACTTAACTAATGCATGGAATAATAATGCAACACAAAATGTACTTAGAACAAAATGTATTGAAACAAGAAAGTGTACACAATATTTACATATAGTCTTTTGTATATTCCTGGTAAGACCGTTCCTGGAGAATGTGTTGACTGAGTCGCAGTCGGGCAGAGTCTCTGGTTGAATCTCTTGATTCCTGTATTTATCTATCCACCCACGAGGATAAAATGTGGCACAAGGCCGGTTTAAAGTGGGTATCTACGAGCCCGTAGGCTCGGCCAAAAATATGGCCTTTCTGAACCCACCTAGACGGGTTCAAGGCCTGTCTACCACCCCGGACGAAACCCTGCCTCTCGGCAAAGCCTCGTCCGGGTCCCTCACTGCAAAATGCAGAGAGTTCGACTGAGAGTGAATCTCTTGATTCCTCTCTCTCTTCCCGGTACCAACCATATTTATATGGTCGGTACTCCACTATGCAAATTAGGTGGATCCTACCACAAGAATTACATATACAACGGATAGGATTTATTAAACAAATACGTCAACACTTTCATTCCCTCTAATGATTACATATATAACTGATAGGATTTATTAAACAAATACGTCAAAACTTTCATTCCCTCTAATGATTACATATATAACGGATAGGATTTATTAAACAAATACGTCAACACTTTCATTCCCTCTAATGATTACATATATAACGGATAGGATTTATTAAACAAATACGTCAACCCTTTCATTCCCTCTAATGATTACATATATAACGGATAGGATTTATTAAACAAATACGTCAATACTTTCATTCTCTCTAATAATTACATATATAACGGATAGGATTTATTGAACATCTTCATTCCCTCTAATAAATCCATATATCGTCAAAACCTTCGTTGTTTCTAATGATTACATATTTTGTTAAATACTAAATTTTTCAGTGACTGAAAATGAAATCAATGTCCTGGTTATGTATTATTATTACTCAATCTATCTGAAGTCGCTAGACGTAGATAAGTTTCAGCCTTTTTCAAATAGCACCTGTTTTTATTCTTTGATATCGACAAATATATATAAACATCTGTCTGGATTTTATTTGTTCACAAATCTCGAGTGAATGACTGAACATTTTTGTGGCATTCAATAGCTTAATTCTAGATATGATTTTACCGACGATAAAAACCTCAATTTTCACACGCTTTCAATAAAAATCATACTTTTTATTTATACAAGACTTTATTTAGTTCAGGATTTAAATAAAATAAAAATTAAATAAAAAAAGAAAGACTGACTTTGATAGTGAATGACTCAGTAGGAGTTGAAATGTGATATCCACGAACATTACGTACCTTTTTTTTCACATGTAAATTGTATGTATAAAACTTTTTTTTTATTATATAGTGTAAGGAGAAATATATATTTCTGTTTTGTTTTGTTTTATCCAAAGTTATTTTCTCATCGAGTAACATATATATTCTTGTTATTGTCTTATAATAATTGTGCTTGTCCTTCTCTTCGTTAGTGCCTGTTGGCACGACCGTTACGTCCTGCCAATACCGCATGAATAATAGATAGCGCAGAAGGTGGGGAAAAGGGACTACATGATTTCAATGAAAAAATGAAAGAAAGAAAGTTCTTCCAATAATGGATAATAATGGATTAGAAAAAGAGA